TGCTCTGGATGTGCCGCATGCCTCAGAGAGTAGGTGGCAGGACCCTTCTCCTCAGCACCTGCCCTGATTCATGTCCCCCTTCAGAGTCCATCCCACGTCCCCACCTTGCTCTCCCTGGCTGCTCGTTGTGCTCGGCTGCCATGTTACTTCCGTCAGAGCCGGCATCCACTGTCCTGGCTATGGAACCACAGCTCCCTGCTTTCACTCGGCCCTGGTGCCACATAGGCACAGCCATTCAGCTCCTGCACCAGTTCCACATAAGCCCTACCGCTCTGCTCTGGCCCAGCTCTGCTGTCTGGGCCGCGTCCCTCCTACCTGTGGTTCTGGCTGCTGTTCCTCTGCTTTCATCCCAGCTTGTAAAGCTTTGAGATTTCTACTGCACCAATAGCCCACAGCCCCTTAAGCACTAACACAAAAGTAGATCAGTCTTTTTCCCTTTTTCCAGATCATTTATAAATATGTTGAATATGATTCATCCCAGTATGGACCCTTGGAGGAAACCACAATTCACCTCTCTCCATTCTGAAAACTGACCCTTTATTCCGACCAATTTTTCCTGTCTTCTAGCCATTATCAATCGACGGGAGGACATTTCTTCTTATCCCATGACTTACGTAAGAGCCCATGGCAAGGGAACTTGTCAAAGGCTTCCTGGAAATCAAGGGCTACATCTAGACTGGAAGTCTCTTTTGAAAGAGGCGAAAAAAATCATCAGTGCTTTTCCGGGAAAACTATGCTGCTCCCGTCCGGGCAAAAGTCCTTTTTCCAAAAGACTTTTGCGCAAAAGGGCCAGTAGCGTTTTCCGCAAAAAAGCCACGATTGCAAAAATGGCGATCGGGGCTTTTTTGCGGAAAAGCGCGTCTAGATTGGCCACGGACGCTTTTCCTCAAAAAGTGCTTTTCCGGAGAGTCATTGTGGATTCTTCATCACTGAAAATTTTTAAATCAAAGTGCAGTGTTCTTTCTCTAAGGCTATATCTACACTCAATAAACTATATCACATCCAAGGAATGTGTCCACGTTTTTGGAATAGTTTCCAAAAAAGTGGATGTGTTCTTTCAGCATCCCTGATTCCTCATTTTATGAGAAATAGGGAATGTTCTGAAAGGGGACATTTTTCCAAAATTTGAGCCCGTGTAGAAGAACTAAATTTCAGAAAAGCCTTTTCCGGGAAAAAAAATGGAAAACGAAACACAAATTGGGAATTGTGACTTAGCCTGAAAGAGCAACTCTAGAAATATTACTGTGAAAATTGTCTCCACAAGAAGTCAGACCAGGTGATCTATCTCTGAAGTGATATTGAGGAATTCAAAAACCACACTGCAGAAAACTCTACTGAGACAGATAGAAATACACATCAAGGAATAAGGAACTTATTCTAAGGCCTAATCATTATCTCAACTTTCCCCAATACATTGGTAGTTCCAGTTTATCATGATAAATCCTGGATATATCTGGAGAAAAAAAAAACACTACACAGTTTTAAGTCACCGTTGTGGTGCGTTCCTTCCCTGATAGTCCTAGATTTCAACCATGGAACACAGTTCCTCAGCCCTTATCACTAAGCATTAAGGCAGCAACAGGCAACTCACCACAATCCCCTCAGTAGAGTGGGGAAATCTCCTTCCTACGGCTGTAAGGCAGAGAGAAAGGAGTCAGCTTGTGAATCTCACCTGTCTGACACTCGCTGCACTGACTGTTCCCTTTATGATTCCTCTGTTAAGTTCCATAAGGAGTACCGGTAGTTCGAATTAGAGATCCTAATTCGAACTACCTACTATGTGCTGCGTATAGCCGCGGGCACGGAGTTCGGAGTAAGGGGGATTTAAAAATGGCGTTGCCTGGGAAGATGCAAATGAAGCCCGGGGTATTTAAATCCCGGGCTTCATTTGCAACTCCGGTTGCCCTCATTTGCCTACCTAGCTCGAACTACAAAGCTAGTGTAGACATACCCATAGATATAGTAGCCCAATGTCTGAGAGTCTGTAACGCTGAAATGCTGGCTGTTCCCTCTGGGGAGCGATGTTGCCTGAAATGCTGGCTGTTCCTCTGGGGAGCGATGTTGCCTGAAATGCTGGCTGTTCCTCTGGGGAGCGATGTTGCCTGAAATGCTGGCTGTTCCTCTGGGGAGCGATGTTGCCTGAAATGCTGGCTGTTCCTCTGGGGAGCGATGTTGCCTGAAATGCTGGCTGTTCCTCTGGGGAGCGATGTCTCTGAGGGGCAATGTTGCCTGAAATGCTGGCTGTTCCCTCTGGGTGGCCCATGCTGCATGGGGAGTGTGGGGCCCAAATGGCCATTTGAGCGCCACGGTCCCCCAAGTGAGAGGCAGGAGGGGGAGGAGAAGAGAAAGAGAGAGACAGAGAGAGAGAGGCAGAAGGAGGAGGAGAGCTGAAAGAGAGAGAAGGGGAGGCAGTAGGAGGTGGAGGAGAGAGAGACAGATAGAGAGAGAGATGGAGCGAGAGACCGGAGGCTCAGGAGAGAAGACCGACGAGGAGGAGAGACCTGAAAATCCTGTCTTACGACGGGCTAATTGGCTTGTCTGTAAATAGTTAGCTAAGAGGGGTTTCTCCCCGCCTGCCTCTCTCCGGCTGGGGAGGGAATGCCAAGGCCACAGGGCTTCAAGCCTTTCGCATCATGCCTGAAACCTACGCCCTGAATTAATTTCGAAATAGCAGTTGGATTGTGTAGATGCTAGGAAAGTTATCTCGAAATAACTTTGCTGTGCAGACATGCCCTTAGTCTCCCCTTTTCAAAGATGAAAAGTCCCAGTCTTTCAGACTATGTCTACACTGCAGGCTTCTTGTGCAAGAAGCTTTTTGTGGAAGAGATCTTCCACAAAAACTTCTTGCACAAGAGCACGTCCACACTGCAAACGTGCATTGAAAGGGCCATGCGACTGTGCGCAAGAGAGCATCTATATTGTGTGAAAGCACCCTCGAAAGGTATTTACAGAATGGCCACCAGGGCACCTGGGCTTTTTCGGATTGCCTCTTTTTGTACAGAAAAAGTCTGTTCCCCATCCACACATGCCTATTTGCGCAAGAGCTCTTGGCAAAAAAAAGTTATTACTCATAGAAAGAGGAGCAGCATTTGCGCAAAAGCCTTTTGATTTTTTTGCTCAAAAATTCACTTGAGGTATGGTCACTCTGCGAGTTTTTGCAGCAAAACGACGGGTTTTCCACAAAAACTCTGTCTCTTCATACATAACCTATTCCGAATCCCTCATCATTTATGTTGTTCTTTTCTACAACTTTTCCAGTGCCAAGATATCCTTTTTGAGATGAGGTGACCACATAAAGCCCTATTTCGAACTTCCTGTTATTCCACCTGCAATGAGGTTTAACAGGTAGTTTGAAATACGGCTTTATTTCGAACGCGCATTTCCCTGTCGCGTGTAGACGCAGGCAGATAGTCCTGAAAATTTCAAAAATGGTGCCCAACCGGGAAGATGCAAATCAAGCTTGGGATATTTAAATCCCAACCTAGATTTAGTGCCCCGCCGGGAAGATACAAATCAAGCTCAGGATATTTAAATCCCTGACCGACAGGGTGTGTGGGATGTGCAATAACAGGTGACATTGAAACCGGCCAGGTGATGATCAGACAGTAGGAACTCGGCAATGGAGAAAGCAGCGCTTGGGGATGGAACGGTGAGACGTTAGATGTGAGTAGCTGCGGAGACCATGAACTTCCACAATGCTGAGCTCAGCCAAAGTGGGACAGAGCAATCTTGGGTAATGAGGAGGTAACGGTTCCCCCTCTTGGGATACTGTTTAACTTCAGAGGCTCAATGTGATCACAATCTGCAAAAGTTTTTCCTGATTTTGTCACGAAGCTCTTTGGTTTTGACTCCATATACAATTGGGTTGAGCATGGTGGGGACAAGGATACAGACATTGCCCAAGAAGATTTGAACATGAGGAGCGATGCTCTCACCAAACCAATTTGTCACAAGGGTGAAAAAGAAGGGAGTATAAGACGTGAGCAGCACACCTATGTGAGCAGTGCAGGTGTTGAGGGCTTTCTGGTGGGCTTTCTGAGAGGAGATTCTTAGAATGGCCCTGATGATCAGAGAGTAGGAAAGGGCAAGGAGCATCAGGTCTGACCCAATTATTGTAAGTGACAGCACCAAGGCATAGAACCTGTAGAATGTGAGGTCCCCACATAAAATCTTGGCCACAGGAATAGCCTGACAGCTTATATCAGAGATGATGCGGTTGCCACAGAACGGCAGCTGGCTCAGCAGTAGGGGCACGGGCAGCATACAGAGAATCCCTCGTATTAAACTGAGAAGCCCTAGCGTAGCTACCCGTGTGTGGGTGAGGATGGTGGTGTATCTCAGAGGATTACATATGGCAACATAGCGATCGAAACCCATTGATACTAGGACACCTGATTGCATTGCAATAGCCGTGCCAATGAATGTAATTTGGGTGAGGCAGCCACTCACTGTGATGACTTTCAAATTGAACCAAAATATACCCAGGGCCTTTGGCACATCAGTGGTAGAGATGGTGATATCTGTGAGCGCCAGAAGGCAGAAGAGCAGGTACATAGGCTGGTGCAGGGTCTGCTCTTTGCCTACCACGAACAGAATGGAGAAATTTCCCAATAGGCAGAAAATATAACAAGTAGCAAAAGGGATGGAAATCCAGACGTGAGAATCTTCCAGGCCAGGGATGCCTGCTAGGATGAATGTTGACGTGTCAGAGGGTGTGAGGTTGAAAGCTGCCATGAGCTAGTGGATGAAACAACAGGGTTGAGGAATGCACAGGGCGCCTGTGAAAACACAGAAGTACAATGAGCAGGGGTTGCACATAATAACCAATATCACAGTAAACATTACAATTATTGCCAATTTAGAAAAGTGAGTACTGATGTGGTAACTTTTACAGAAGGCAACAGATTATTTAGACCAAAGTCAAATCCAGAGTAGTTCTTAGAAAGAGCTATTTGTGCCAAGTTATTTTGCAGCATGATGGCAGATACATTTTGATATTGAGAGTTGCACGATGTCTGCCCATTGCAGGGAAAAGCTTGAACTCCTCAAACTTCAAAGAGCGTTCTAACTTAATTATATGAACTCAGAACAGGGACCTGGGTACCTTTGACAAACAGTTCTGGGAACCCTGCTTACAATAGAAGCAAGGGCAGAATCTGAGCAAAACTCCGGGGCCTTTAAGCAGAAGTAGAGGGAGGGGGAGATTAGACACTTTATAACTATTTGTACTGTTAACAGCTTTATAGTTATTAGCAGTCTAGGCTAGTGGCAACATTTACAGGTGGCACCAGGTAATATAGCGGAAAATCACGTCCAGAGAAGATGTCAGAGGAGCTAACCGAGCAATGAATCAGCAGGTTGGGGGCAGATGAAATTTGACGTTGACAACTGCAGTATGTCTGCCCATTGGATGGAAAGTTTAAACCCCTCAAACATTTACCGAGGTTCTAATGTAACGGTAGGGACTCAGGACACAGACCTGCGCTTCATGGCCCACTGCTCTGGGAAACCCTGCTCACAGGGCTCACCATCACAGAACGTATCAAAACATTGGGATCCACGAGGTGCGGGATGGGGGATCGTACAGAAAATGCAATACCACGATGTCACTCAGACTCAGACTGACACAGATATATGCTGCTGGGGGCTAACCGCTGGTGTTCTCTTATTTTCTTTGTTGGATTGACGAATTGTTGGACTCTTGTGTGGATTGTTCCAGGATGAGTTTGATAGTGGGGGGCATGTTTGAAAGTAGAGAGTTTGAAAAGACGGGGGTTGTTGACTTACAAAGGAAAGGAATAAGAGACGATATGAGAACTCTTATGTTAATGACTGGTAGAGAACAGACTACAGAGAACAGACTGTATGTTACCGACCATTAGAGAGTATACTGAGAATGTGTTTACCCTGTCTACTAAGAAAAGAACCAGGGAACATGCAATGAAACATGATCCACTGAAAACAGATAAACAAGCATCTGTTCTTCACTCCATGGCCAGTTAGACAGAACAGCCCATTGCCACAGGAGCTAGTTGAGGCCATTAGATAAGCAAGAATCAGGTAGGATTTTGATTTTTACATAGAGAGACAGATGATCCAATCACAGCATTCATAGTTACATAAAATCTATGAAAGCCTAATACACCAACATGTTTCATGGAACAAGCCAATCTCCTGAAATCTCACAATCTCCACTAAAGCTTAATATTGAACACTACAGACCTGCACCTCTGGTTAATCTAGGGTCAAAGAATGTAGCAGTGCTTGTATTATAGCCAACCACAGCTGGAAGCAGTGACTCTAAGCAAGATTCAGGGGCATGAAGAGATCATTAGCTAACCACGAGCTCCCAGTGTGACCTTGGGGCCAACAGAACGAAGGTGACCTTGGGATGCTAGCAGGGGAAACTCAAGAGAAGTTCTTGTACCTCAGTGTTTGGCACTGGTACAAATGCTCCAGACTCCTGTTTCCGGTCTGGGTCCACAATGCAAAAGACATGTTGATAACACTGGAGAGAAAAACCACAAAAAAAAAATTAAAAGTTTAGAAAACCTTGTTTGTTGTGACAGCTTCAATGAGGACATTAGGTTTAATTTGCGAAAGGTAGCTAAGGAGAACCATGACTTGACAACCTTGGTGGGTTCTTCATCACTGAACATTTTTAAATCAAGGTTTGGTGTTTCTCTCTCTAAAGAGCAGCTCTGGGAATATGACTGTGAAAATTGTCTACATGGGAAGTCAGAACTGGCAATCACAATGGTCACTTCTGGTCCATCACGGCTCATCCCCAGCTGTACTGCAGACCCCTGGAAACTCTGACCTTCCTGAGGAAGCTTTTCAGTGCTGACATTTCCTCACCAATGACCCATGAGGCATCAATGTGGTTGCTCATGGGAGCGCGAATCATCTCGATGGCACATGGTATGAGAGAGAATTGTCTACAGTGTGATCCATGTTACTTTACTGTGTGAGAAGTCCTGTGGCACCTTATAGACTAACTGAAGTGTAGGAGCATAAGCTTACGTGGGCAAAGACTCACTTCGTCAAATGCATCTGATGATGTGGGTCTTTGCCCACGAAAGCTTATGCTCCTACATTTCAGTAAGTCTATAAGGTGCCACAGGACTTCTCGCCGCTTTTGCAGACTAAGACTAACACGGCTACCCCTCTGATACTGTACTGTGTGAGACACCTGCTGTCTCCATTGGCCACTTTGGTCTGTGCATGAGCCCGGCTGCCGCTTCCCTAGTCCTTTGGTTTCAGGACTCCATGCCATTGTGATCTGGACACTGCACGACCACCCCCACTGTCTCCCACACACTGTGCATTCCTTGGAGGTAGCCAGAAACTCCTGGTTTCCCCAAAGTGTGAATCAGAAACATGATTCCTTTTACTGCTTTTTGTCTTCTTCAGACCACAGTTTCAGGGGCACAGCAGACACCTGTTAGCTCGATTGGTCTCCACCTTTCGACCTGTGAGTTTGAGATTTCAGCAACTCTCCTGTCAGTTCTCCTTGATTCAAACCAGCTCACCTTTCAAGCGGAAGGGATGCCTCCAGCTGAAATCCCTGCAGGCTCAGGGTTGATTCAGATAAGTGCATCTATTCAAGTTCCTACATATGGATGTAGGATAATTTGAAGGACTCCCAGATTTCACCCATCCCTTGGTCTAACAAGCAGAAATAACAAATCAAGCATCTATGCTACTAAGCCTGTTCTTTCGGGGGAAAGGGGCTGTCTATTTTGAAATAAGAACTCCTGCTTTCCTTGAGGAATACTACTTATTTCAAAGTAACTTTCCTGGTGTGGACATGCCCTGAGTATTTTAGTTTCAGCGACAGGAGAGCGCTGTTTTGCTTGGGCGCTCAGAATCGGAGAGAAACTCCTGTGTCTGTGGCCTTCTCAGAGCAGGTTTGAAAGTTGGGGGGTTTCAAATGCATGGACCCCAATTTTGCTCTCAGGGATGCTGGTGTCAGTCTGGAGCGATACACTGAAGGCAGAATGGGAGAGCAAATTGTGGCCAGTGTGTGACCCATGTTTGTTGTGTACCCCCAGTAACACAGATCCCCACTGCAGAGGATTTACTTGTGCAGTGCAGCTGAGGAATTGGAAAACCACACTGCACAAAACCACAAAACTTCTCAAAAAGATACAAGGACACAGTAGGAAACAAGGCTCTGATTCTAAGGACAGATAATGGTCTCAACTTTTTTTTTCCAATACAGTGGTAGTTCCAATGTATCTAATAAATCCCTGGTATGTGTAAAAAAATCTAAACAGTGTAACTCACTGTCCTGGTTAATTCCTGCCCAGATGATTCTAGATGTCAACTCTAGAAACCTGCTTTACTCTTTACCACTAATGTTAGTACAGAAACAGGCAGCTCACCACAATCCCGCTCAGCAGAGAAAGGAAATCGCCTACCTGTGGCTGTGAGGCAGAGGTAAAATAACCAGCGTGTGATTCGCACCTGTCTGACACTCGGCGAACTGAACCGTGACCTTTATGATTCCCCTGTGCAGTCCCTGCGGGCCCCCGGGTGGGCCGGGATTCACAGACAATTCCCTAAGCTCTGTGGGGGGGGGGGGTGAGAAGACCCCCTGGAGACCTACAGCTTGAGAGCCTCCCCCAGGAGAGAAGTAATTGACCATTGTAGTGATTTAACTAGTCAGGGCAAACTGCTTCTCCCCAGTGCTCAGCCTGGCTGGCTGTTCTGTGGGCACTGCCCTGACATCAGCACTGCGAGGGGGGAGGCTGCCACGCAATATACGACCAAATGTCAGTTCACGTGATTGTAGCAGCTTGTGTCTCGTTGCTCAGTTGTGTCAAGACCTTTGGCCCCTGAAATGTCATTGTTGCCCGGTGGACGCTAAATGACGCCCTGGAGTGATGGAAGCCAAACAACAAGGAAAAGGCTTTCTGCTCCCAGGATTTTGCCATCAAATGTATTTTCCAGTGTTCCTTTGTCATGTGTAAGGTGGGTACATGTCTGGCAGCTCCAACTGCTCCGCAGGAACAGGCTGCACCATCCTGCGCCAGCCCTAGTCTCATGGGAATGCCTCACGCACTCTGCGGTGAAGACCGAAGCAGGGTTGGCGGGTTCTTGTGCTGCCGGCTGGGGTGTGTTTACACAGTCAGTGTGTTTCAGCCAGGCCAGCCGTCCCTGTGCTGAGTTCATGGGGTGCTCACTGACAAATAGGTCAGTTCTGCTTTTGACAGGTCATGGCTGTTGCTCTTAACTTGTGCTAACTCTGGATGAAGCCACAGGCCTTGCACCAGATGCGTCCTTCAGCGTGTTTCTGCTGCTGACATACTGAAAACATGTGTACAAAATAAAGAAGATCGATGCTGCTATGGTCGATCTTCTGGGGTACAGTAGAGAGGGTGTAGTAAAGACGCGCTAATTCGAACTCAAAGGGTACCCCCATCGGCGCCGGTACTCCTGCTCCTCGTGAGGATTTTGTGAAGGCGTTGGGAGCGTTTGCTCTTGCCAACCTCCCACTGCGTGGGTAGAAATTTAAAGTATGTCAATTCCATCTACGTGATTAATGTAGTTGGAGCTGAGCATCTTATGTCAACCTTCCTCTTACGGGTAGTCCAGGCCTCAAAGAATTCAGTGGCTCTCAGTTTGCGCCCAATTTTCATGACACTCATGGGATTTCATGGATTTCATGTATGTCTGCCATATTCTTACTAGCAGGAAGAAAAATATGCACCTCCTTGCGCTGGTCGCAA